CCCCAAAACCCCAAAACCCCAAAACCCCAAAACCCCAAAACCCCAAAACCCCGGGAGCAGAGGTTCATATTGAAAGGACTTAGTAATAAAATTAAACCGATTCCTTGATATAACAACAATGGAGGCATCCAATCAAACCCAGAAAGAGGTACGTTCGAACACAGATCACAAGGGGTCTTGCGAGACAAAGTTGCTGTTCTCAGCCGAGCATGACTCACTGTCAGCTTAGATTCACGATTAGAGTAGTCTTCAGTGAGATTAAGGCTGCTAGGTTATTGGCTTAGCGCTGCAGACTTCTTCTTGAAAATTGTGCTGCAGTTATCAAATCATGCAAGCTCATTGTATCATTTTTGTGTGACAAATTTTCTAAAAACCATTCAAAGTTGCGACCCAAGCGGCTTCTGCCACCATCACAAGCGGATACCCGCACTTTTATTCAGAGTTCATCTGAGTTGCACTTGGGAGCGTTTATGTGCATTGTGGGTGGCACAGTGGAGTGTATCCTGTTAACAATCATATTTAGATGGCAGAAATATTTGGAGACATTGCAAGAAGCTTCAGCAGACTCGCTCAGCTGATGGGTGCAGACACAGGCGAAGGTAACATGCTCAACTTTATGCTACCATTGGCCTATCCATGCTTGGATACTAAGCATTGTGTTGTCAGTCAGCTATGGGACATCATTAGTTTATGTTAAAGTATCTGATTTGTTTCAAGAATCTTCATTATTGCAAAGTAAACTTTGTGTCTCTTGATCAAACTTCAAATACTCTATTTCATAGTAGCCTGACTGTATACCACTTGTGGTTCTAAACAACGCTTGTTGTGTCTTGTTCAGTCCCTCATTTTTGATGTAGTTCCATCGCTGATTAAGAGCAAAGGTAAATCTTCCAAGGCATCCAAAGCAGACAAAGACAAACAAGACAAGTCTGCTAAAAACAAAAAGCAGAAGAAGTCCAAAGCCGACAAAGATCCTAATGCTCCTAAGAAGCCTCTGACTGCTTTCATGCTCTACACCAACAAGAGAAGATCCGAAGTCATGAAAGCGAACCCCGGAATGAAGATCACTGAAATCTCGACCATTATCGGTAAAGAGTGGAAGGAACTCACTGAAGAAGAGAAAAACGTAACCTCATCGCTTACTCATAGATCTGGAAAGAAAAGCACAACGACGCCAAGCTGATCTACGAACTCAATGCTTTCAACTACAAGAAGTAACTTCATGCTTACTTTATAGGAGCAAAACCGACGCTGCCAACAACGAAGTCAGCGCCAAGCACAAGAAAGACGAACACGGAGCCGCTCAAGAGTCCACCATGAAGACTCTGGCTGGCAAGAAGAGAAAGAAGTACAGCGATGATGGAAGCAGCATCGACTCATCTAGTGACGAAGAGCCTCAGAAGAACAAGAGACACAAAGCTAAATAAGTCCGAGCAGCTTCAAGAAGGCCAAGAGGGTCAAGAAGACAGAGCTTCAGCAATAATAGTTCAATAATTCAGAAGCTCAAAGGGGTTTTGGGGTTTTGGGGTTTTGGGG